CAAGGCTTGTCTTTTTAGTAGCGCATGCAATCACTCCTCAACCTCCTTCTCCTCCTCCTCGAATCCCCATCTTGGCTGATTCATTACACTTCCAATTCCACAACCCTGTAGTGTGTTCTAACTTTGCAAGACACAGGGACACCAAATGAGCAACCGTAAATGAACCGATCTACCCGAATAAAGGTACATCTGGTGAGAAAACAAAAACAAGAATAAGAAAAGAAAGAGAATAGCCCCACCGGATTTTATCGAGTTATTAAATTTAATAAAATCATAAATAAATGAAAATATACATCCTCAGTCCAAATATTGACAAAAACATGAGAAAATTGCATAATAGAACTCGAACCAGTTGGGGTGTGCGATAGACTTAACTCCACGTGGTGCACCCTGGCCAACGTATATTCATACGGCAAAAAAGTCTATTAACTGGCAGTTGTCTTCTCACTTCTAACTATCATCACCTCACTCTATGGCATATTCGACTATATTCCCAGTACTCACTTCCTCTGTGAAGCCTGAAGTCAACTAAAGGGCTAATGATAACCATCAAGACGCCTGCCATTTGATGTAAATAAATAATCTCGAACCAGATTCCTTATCTCTTCAAAAATGAACGAAAGAATGGAAAAATTTCAGGCTAATGAAGTACATGGGTTTGGAAGGATGACTTCCAACCCCAATAGCCTATATTTTCAACAACTAACCTCCTATGGAAATGTGTAAGATTGCATCAACTCCGAATGCCAAATATTTTGACATTCTACCGGAGGCAAAAAAGTATTATGACCTTAAATGCTTAGATAAGAGGCATATTTACCAACTAGACGTTTCAAATTTTGACTGACCGAATAGAGAAAGTACATTACTAACGCAAGTAAACATTGCAACACGAACATGGAAAAAGTGAAGTATAATCGATTGAAAAATTAGACGATGATGAAGATGGAGCAAAATTAGATAAAGAAGTCGAAACAACAGGAGTTCTGTCTTTTTTTATAATTGCCAAAATATATCACCTTTCCCCTACGAGCATCAAGTCAACTCCTAGAAGTACAAGCACTCCAAATTGTAATATTTGTGAGATGGCCGGTGAATTGCTGAGTAAGTCTGTGTCAGTCTGGTGTTCAGAACTATGATACTAGCAACATTGTTCTAACAGGCACACATCACAATAAATTTTCCGAAATGAATGCAATCAGCATATGCGTGTTGATTAAATACCCCCCCCCCCCCACCCGAAGTAACGCATTTAACCCCTAAGGCACGGTGTCCACTCACAGTAACAGCACTTTCAAAAGAGAAAAAGGGCATATTCGATAAACTCACGCATTGGACGTGATCCAGAAGAGGATCTCTGAGGACAGAGATGGGTACGATGATTGACATAATGATGGCAAGGACAGCATGAATGGCGCAGAGGTGGGGAAGAGGGAGACTATCCAAGGACTTGTCCTGGACGGCCAACACTAGCCGCAGCAGTTCCACGAGGACCTTCGAAAAAAAAACAAAGAAAATGAAACTTGTCAATAGAATCTTGCAGATATTGTGTGACTGTTAGGAAGCCAAATCGAACAATTTCACGGCACTCGAGGGAGAAAAAATCGTAGGCTTCATCTCTCTCTCCCCCTCTCATGCACTGGATTGACGATTCCACTGGATTCACACACACTCAAACACAGAGATGCAAGACCAGCAGTGAAGAAGCGATCGCTACAACAACCATCACCACTTATTCAAGCAAAGCATAATAAAATCCACATAGCTAAATTACCGATCTACCGTTTGAACTATTAGTTCTCGTTCAGCACCCCTTTTCCACCGGATATTTACTCATCAATTAAATGAAGGTGCCTTTAAAGAGCTATTGTGAATGCAAAACAATCACAGCTCCAGAACTCAGACTTTAAAGCGGTGAAAGAAGTGTAGAGTGATTGGAAAATGATCGTGAAGGCCAATGTTGCCAAGATACTGATTGAGGCATTTTGCCACATAGTCACTAATGGAATTTAGACCACTCTCGTCGATTACGCTGTGGCAATCATTGGGGGGG